AGTTCTAAAGTAAATCCAAACTAGAAGGACAGCCTTTATTGAAAAGAGATAGTTGAAAATTCTAAGACATATAATGAGAAAAGAAGGCTTGGAAAATTTGACACAGTAAAGGCAAGAGGAGCAGAGGGAAATAGTGAGTAACCTAACTAATGAAACAAATTCATTTTGGAACAGTAAATAGTCAACCAATATCTCTTTTGGTGACAGAATGACTATAGATTGTTCTTTATCTTATTTATTTCAAATTCTAAAGCTACAATGGCGCTAGATATCTCAATTAAAAAGAGAGAAATAAACATAAATTCCCAGTTATAAAAAGAAAACCAATGACTCAGAAAAATGGAAACACAGAATTCAAATATAGTTGTAATTCTTCATATAACAGAAACAATGAAATGAGCGTTGAACCATTATGTAATATTAATACTCCAATATGGCTATTGAATGTTGGACAATTTCTTCACAGATTAAGAAAAGACTTGAAGACTGAAGACCATAAGGAAGGCCTAAAATAAATATGAACTAGAAAGACATGCTTTATTAGAAAAGGATAGTTGAAATTTTTGAGACATAAAATGAGGAAAGAAAGCTTAGAAAGTTTGGCACTCACAAAATGTAGTAAAGGCAAGAGGAACAGAAAGAAACAGTGAATAATCTAACTAATGAGATTGTGTAAATTGATGCCAAAATGAGTACAAAGTAGAACAGTAAGAAGTCAACCAATATCTCTTTTGATTACAGAATGATTATAGATTGTTCTTTATCTAATTTATTTCAAATTCTAAGGCTACAATTGGAGTTCAAATATTGATCATGGATCAGATATTGGAATATTTTATTATTTCTTTATGTTGTAGTTGATAGGATACAACAAGCAAAGATTCAAACTTTGCACTGATGAAGTGGAGCCTCGAAGCAACAGACATGTGTTTCTACAGAAGGATGCTGAGAATTCCATGGATGGAACATGTGAACAATGAAGAAGTTTTGAAAAAAAAGAGTGCTGAAATACTATGTAACATTAAACCTTATATATGACAGTGAATGCTGCATAATTTCTGCAGGGGTGAAAAAGAGACTTGAGGCAACAAAGATGTGATCCCCCAGAAGGAAGCTAAGAATTCTATTGACTGATTGTATAAGTAATTTTTAGAACTAGAGTGCTGAAATGCTATGTAATATAAATCTTGCTACATGGCAGTGCATTCTGGATAATTTCCTCAAAGATAAAGAGAAGGTACAAAGCAACAGAGATTTGGTTCTACAGGAGGATGCTGAGAATACTGTGGACAGAGTATATAAGCAACCAGGAAGTTGTCCGTAAAAGGACACGTACTTGAATCAGAAAGAGATAGCTGAAATTTTGGAGTAACATATGAGGAAAGAGAACTTGGAAAATTTGTCTACTACAGGATAAATTGAAGGCAAAATAGACAGAGAGAAACAGATTAACCTAACTAACCAGCTTGTGAAAACTGCTTAGTGATACAGGAAATTATGAAAAACCATGATTGCCCATATCCTGAAGTTAAAGGACTTAATAAAATCATGTGAAGCAGGTGAAATGAGTAATTTGTAATAGAACAAGGACACATAGGGATTGTAAATAGTCAAAGGATTCTTTAAGTAAAAGGAAGGAGATTAGTTAATCAAGAGAATCCATAGATCTTGTTAAATGCAAATGGCTAACAAGATATTTTACTAATATGATGATACGCAAAAATATCCTGGTTCTAACTGGTTCATAATTCATTTTATTATACTGATTATCGATAATTTACATTATCAGATATATCAAAGAAGGTCTGTTTTTCATATATATATATATCATGGCTACCATCATGATTGATGATTGTATCTGTGCTATGGCCTTTGAACAAATTCCACTCTGTAATAAGTGGGAAATACCATGCCAAATTAGTTGGTTACCAAACAAGAAACTTTTGCAAAAGCATGTTTTCAGTATAATGCTTTTGTGATTTCAACCAGCCAGTCAGCTACCTAAAGGAAACGATGTCGTCTGCATTCACAAATTGTTACATATAGTAAAGCTTCTAATTAAAGGGAAGGTGATAAAAAAGTTCAGCTTTGTGATTGATGAGCAGGCCTGTTGGTTATCAGTTTTGTTGGATAATCATTTGATGCTTTTTAATACAGACTGCACCACAATCACACGGATACATGCGAACATTTCAATGACTGCAGGCTCATCAATTTGGCCATTGCTGTTATGTTCAGTCCTCAGTGAATATCTAGTTACTGTGGTCCTGTGATAAACAAAGATAAGCTTATCAAAATCTAATGTTGTAACTTTGGTCCTCACTAAATATTCCTTTACTATCTTTAAACATTTAAATCAATACATTATTCTTATTCAATATTCTATTAGGATTAATATTCTTATTTTGGTTAATATAACCACAGCATTATAGATGATTTGTCCTCCAGTCTATCAGTTATATTTTGTGAATATTCATCCATGAAAATTTAAATAAAATATCTTAAAAATGGTACAAGATTTAACAATGTTATAAACATGTGTATGGTAGCATGAAAGAAATAAAATGATAAGTAATGACGTTGAAAGGAAAAGAAGACAAAAATTGTAAATATATAATTCTTTTGTATTTCTGATACATCAGGAGTGATTTTATATCATTAGGCTACATTAGCTACATTCAGATTTTTCATACATTTTGCAGTGCTTATGCCAGCAGGCTTACCTAGTTGAATTCAATTTGTTTATACAATTCCTAGTGCTTTGACCACCAGGATGCCTGAAATCTAATTTGCTTATATAATTCCTAGTGCTTTGACAACCAAGATGCCTGAAATCCAATTTGCTTATATAATTCCTAGTGCTTTCACAACCAGGATGCTTGAAATCTAATTTGCTTATATAATTCCTAGTACTTTGACCACCAGGATGCCTGAAATCCAATTTGCTTATATAATTCCTAGTGCTTTGACTACCAGGCTGCCTGAAATCCAATTTGCTTATATAATTCCTAGCACTTTGACCACCAGGCTGCCTGAAATCCAATTTGCTTATATAATTCCTAGTACTTTGACCACCAGGCTGCCTGAAATCCAATTTGCTTATATAATTCCTAGCACTTTGACCACCAGGATGCCTGAAATCTAATTTGCTTATATAATTCCTAGTCCTGTGACTACCAGGATGCCTGAAATCCAATTTGCTTATATAATTCCTAGTACTTTGACCACCAGGATGCCTGAAATCCAATTTGCTTATATAATTCCTAGCACTTTGACCACCAGGCTGCCTGAAATCCAATTTGCTTATATAATTCCTAGTACTTTGACCCCCAGGCTGCCTGAAATCCAATTTGCTTATATAATTCCTAGCACTTTGACCACCAGGATGCCTTAAATCTAATTTGCTTATATAATTCCTAGTCCTGTGACTACCAGGATGCCTGAAATCCAATTTGCTTATATAATTCCTAGCACTTTGACCACCAGGATGCCTTAAATCTAATTTGCTTATATAATTCCTAGTCCTGTGACCACCAGGCTGCCCGAAATCTAATTTGTTTATGCTATTCCTAATGCTTTGACTACCAGACTGCACAGTTCATATGATCTGAAAATATTTTCTTATCTCAATTTTATTTTCTATTTCAACTCTCTTTTTGTGATCTTTGGTGAAAATACATTTATAGATTTTGATGTAAAGAAACAAGAAACTGCAAGATGAGAACTTAAAAATAGATCTGTTTCAGGACCATAGGTTAAGGGCCACGGAAGACAAAACCTTTGTGCAGGAGATTTCATTCGACCATTCTATACCACCAACCCCCTAATTTATCCTACTGACTTTTTTCTTCATCTTTGTATGGATTCTCTTTCTGTGGTATGAATTGAGCAACTGTTTCTCTACCTTCCACAAAATGGAGGCCTATAAATAAATGCTTAATGACCAGATAACAACAGACAGTTATAAATCTCAGCTTGTCTTTCTCTAAAGATAGAACCTCTGATCAGGCGTTTTTTGCAGTCAAATATGCAGGGCTTAACTGACACATCTATGGTAATGCAATATGCCACTATGTCCCAAGAGGAAGGACCTTAATTTAAATGCTGAAGTTAAGATATACAGCCTAAAAAAAATAAGGTAAATAAAAGAGAAAAAACAGAACAAAATGCAAAGCTGACCTCACGTTTGCTGTCAGGTTCATACAGAAGAAAGCTTAAGCCTTGACATTTTCTATCCATGAGATAGGATTTTGAAGCAGCAATTTTTTCGTACAGATTTTTTTTCTGTTTGAAAGAAGCAGAAGATATCTTTGCATGGATATTTACATTTTCTAAAAGCACAATTCAAAAATATAAATCAGAAAAAAAAAACTTTCTGGAAGCCATGAGATCTTAGATTGTTTTCTATCTGCTTGTGCAGTGATATTTAATATCATGCATGCTTAAACTTTTGATTGTGAGGCCATGATTTAAAATTATGTGAGAAAGAACGATGCTGAGAATACCATGGACCTAACATGTCAGCAATAACAATCTTTTAGAGAAAATGGAAACAAAAAGGACATTTATCCTTAACATCAGGAAGAGACAGTTGAAATTTCTAGGGCATATAATGAGGAAAGAGGGATTGGAAAATTTGATACTCACAGGAGAGATTGAAGGCAAAGAGGGATAGAGGAAAACAATGCATAACCTACCTAGCAAGTTTTAGAGAAAATGGAAACAAAAAGGACACTTATACTTAACATCAGAAAGAGAGAGTTGATATTTCTAGGGCACATAATGAGGAAAGAGGGCTTAGAAAATGTGATACTCACAGGATATATTGAATGCAAGAGTAATGAAGGAAAACAATGCATAACCTACCTGATGAACTTGAGTCAATGGATGGTGGAGCAAAGTTTGGGAGATATAGCAAAAAGATAAAATCTATTAAGAGCTACAAAGAATAAGAACTTGTGTAGGGTCATGTTCAACTATGTCATGAAGGGATCCGACACATAGAAAAAGAAAGAGAAAGTTTCTTTTTAATAAGAGAGATCATCTAATAAAAGGCTCAAAAAGAGAAGATGGTAATAAATGAAAATTATCAGGATAAGAACAAATGATAATGATTGACTCATGACTTGAAGAGGTTCACCATGCCATGTACATAGGTTTGATTCATCTTCATTCTAATCATATTGCATTAGTGAGAAGGAAATTCTAATTGAACAGCTTCTACCCAAGAATTGTTACTTTGTGGAAAAACACACAAGAGAATGCATCACTGATCACTAAGCATCTTCAAGTGTAGGATCAACTTTTGTCTGTCCTAATTATCCTCATAATATGCACTTTTTACTTCCTTCTCTTACACGCTTACAACAATCTCATTCAGTAAGCCTCTACCCTTGGGTAGTCCTGGATAAGATGATAAACTACATACAGCAGCAAAACCTCAGATCAGGAGATTGGCAGTTTTAATGGGCATGGAACCACCTTTTACTTGCTGTTGTTTATAGGTCCACCCTGACCCAGGGTGGTAGCACATTTTACCGTCCCAACTATAAGGAAATAGTGAACTTCCAAACAAAAACAAAACTATGTGAAAATATAAAAATACATTTTAATAGTAAAACTACAAGCAATATATTTTTATAGTAAAAAATTAGCAACAATGCAATTTTAAAGCAAAATGATCAGCAATACATTTTATATTATGATATACCAACCATAGTAGAATTACCAAAAATACATTTTATAGTAGTATTACCAATGATACATTTTATAGTAGAATTAGCAACGATACATTTTATAGTAGTATTACCAACAATACATTTTATAGTAGAATTACCAACGATACATTATATAGAATTACCAACAATACATTTTATAGTAGAATTACCAACAATACATTTTATAGTAAAATTACCAACGATACATTATATAGTAGAATTACCAACAATACATTTTATAGTAGAATTACCAAAAATACATTTTATAGTAGAATTACCAACGATACATTTTATAGTAGAATTACCAACGATACATTTTATAGTAGAATTACCAACAATACATTATATAGTAGAATTACCAACGATACATTTTATAGTAGAATTACAAAAAATACATTTTATAGTTGAATTACCAACGATACATTATATAGTAGAATTACCAACGATACATTTTATAGTAGAATTACCAACAATACATTTTATTGTAGAATTACCAACGATACATTATATAGTAGAATTACCAACGATACATTTTATAGTAGAATTACAAAAAATACATTTTATAGTTGAATTACCAACGATACATTTTATAGTAGAATTACCAACTATACATTTTATAGTAGAATTACCAACAATACATTTTATTGTAGAATTACCAACGATACATTATATAGTAGAATTACCAACGATACATTTTATAGTAGAATTACCAAGGATACATTATATAGTAGAATTACTAACAATACATTTTATAGTAGAATTACCAATGGTACATTTTATAGTAGAATTACCAATGATACATTTTATAGTAGAATTACCAACAATACATTTTATAGTAGAATTACCAACGATACATTATATAGTAGAATTACCAACGATACATTTTATAGTAGAATTACCAAGGATACATTATATAGTAGAATTACCAACAATACATTTTATAGTAGAATTACCAATGATCCATTTTATAGTAGAATTACCAATGATACATTTTATAGTAGAATTACCAACAATACATTTTATAGTAGAATTACCAACGATACATTATATAGTAGAATTACCAACGATACATTTTATAGTAGAATTACCAATGATACATTTTATAGTAGAATTACCAATGATACATTTTATAGTAGAATTACCAACGATACATTTTATAGTAGAATTACCAACGATACATTATATAGTAGAATTACCAACGATACATTTTATAGTAGAATTACCAATGATACATTTTATAGTAGAATTACCAACGATATATTTTATAGTAGAATTACCAACGATACATTATATAGTAGAATTACCAACGATACATTTTATAGTAGAATTACCAATGATACATTTTATAGTAGAATTACCAACAATACATTTTATAGTAGAATTACCAACGATACATTATATAGTAGAATTACCAACGATACATTTTATAGTAGAATTACCAATGATACATTTTATAGTAGAATTACCAACAATACATTTTATAGTAGAATTACCAACGATACATTATATAGTAGAATTACCAACGATATATTTTATAGTAGAATTACTAATGATACATTTTATAGTAGAATTACCAACAATACATTATATAGTAGAATTACCAACGATACATTTTATAGTAGAATTACCAATGATACATTTTATAGTAGAATTACCAACAATACATTTTATAGTAGAATTACCAACGATACATTATATAGTAGAATTACCAACGATACATTTTATAGTAGAATTACCAACGATATATTTTATAGTAGAATTACCAAAAATACATTTTATAGTAGAATTACCAAAAATACATTTTTTAGTAGAATTACCAACAATACATTTTATAGTAGAATTACCAATGATACATTTTATAGTAGAATTACCAACAATACATTTTATAGTAGAATTACCAACAATACATTTTATAGTAGAATTACCAACAATACATTTTATAGTAGAATTACCAACAATACATTTTATAGTAGAATTACCAACGATACATTATATAGTAGAATTACCAACGATACATTTTATAGTAGAATTACCAATGATACATTTTATAGTAGAATTACCAAAAATACATTTTATAGTAGAATTACCAAAAATACATTTATAGTAGAATTACCAACGATACATTTTATAGTAGAATTACCAATGATACATTTTATAGTAGAATTACCAACAATACATTTTTATAGTAGAATTACCAACAATACATTTTATAGTAGAATTACCAACGATACATTTTATAGTAGAATTACCAACGATACATTTTATAGTCGAATTACCAACGATACATTTTATAGTAGAATTACCAATGATACATTTTATAGTAGAATTACCAACGATACATTTTATAGTAGAATTACCAACGATACATTTTATAGTAGAATTACCAACAATACATTTTATAGTAGAATTACCAACGATACATTTTATAGTAGAATTAGCAATGATACATTTTATAGTAGAATTACCAACGATACATTATATATAGAATTACCAACGATACATTTTATAGTAGAATTACAAATGATACATTTTATAGTAGAATTACCAACGATACATTTTATAGTAGAATTACCAACGATACATTATATAGTAGAATTACCAACGATACATTTTATAGTAGAATTACCAACGATACATTTTATAGTAGAATTACCAACGATACATTTTATAGTAGAATTACAAAACGATACATTTTATAGTAGAATTACCAACGATACATTTTATAGTAGAATTACCAACGATACATTTTATAGTAGAATTACCAACGATACATTTTATAGTAGAATTACCAATGATACATTTTATAGTAGAATTACCAACAATACATTTTATAGTAGAATTACCAACGATACATTTTATAGTAGAATTACCAACGATACATTTTATAGTAGAATTACCAACGATACATTTTATAGTAGAATTACCAACGATACATTTTATAGTAGAATTACCAACGATACATTTTATAGTAGAATTACCAACGATACATTATATAGTAGAATTACCAACGATACATTTTATAGTAGAATTACCAATGATACATTTTATAGTAGAATTACCAACGATACATTTTATAGTAGAATTACCAACGATACATTTTATAGTAGAATTACCAACGATACATTTTATAGTAGAATTACCAACGATACATTTTATAGTAGAATTACCAATGATATATTTTATAGTAGAATTACCAACAATACATTTTATAGTAGAATTACCAATGATATATTTTATAGTAGAATTACCAACAATACATTTTATAGTAGAATTACCAACGATACATTTTACAGTAGAATTACCAATGATACATGTTATAGTAGAATTACCAACGATACATTTTATAGTAGAATTACCAACAATACATTTTATAGTAGAATTACCAACGATACATTTTATAGTAGAATTACCAACAATACATTTTATAGTAGAATTACCAATGATACATTTTATAGTAGAATTACCAACAATACATTTTATAGTAGAATTACCAACGATACATTATATAGTAGAATTACCAACGATACATTTTATAGTAGAATTACCAATGATACATTTTATAGTAGAATTACCAACAATACATTTTATAGTAGAATTACCAACGATACATTATATAGTAGAATTACCAACGATACATTTTATAGTAGAATTACCAACGATACATTTTATAGTAGAATTACCAACGATACATTTTATAGTAGAATTACCAACGATACATTATATAGTAGAATTACCAACGATACATTTTATAGTAGAATTACCAATGATACATTTTATAGTAGAATTACCAACAATACATTTTATAGTAGAATTACCAACGATACATTATATAGTAGAATTACCAACGATACATTTTATAGTAGAATTACCAATGATACATTTTATAGTAGAATTACCAACGATACATTTTTATAGTAGAATTACCAACGATACATTATATAGTAGAATTACCAACGATACATTTTATAGTAGAATTACCAATGATACATTTTATAGTAGAATTACCAACAATACATTTTATAGTAGAATTACCAACGATACATTATATAGTAGAATTACCAACGATACATTTTATAGTAGAATTACCAATGATACATTTTATAGTAGAATTACCAACAATACATTTTATAGTAGAATTACCAACGATACATTATATAGTAGAATTACCAACGATACATTTTATAGTAGAATTACCAATGATACATTTTATAGTAGAATTACCAACAATACATTTTATAGTAGAATTACCAACGATACATTATATAGTAGAATTACCAACGATACATTTTATAGTAGAATTACCAATGATACATTTTATAGTAGAATT